AGTCTCAGATTAAGAAAGAAGAAAAAAGATAAGAGGAAGCAAAGGTTAATAGAAGAATAGTTTAAAGATAAAGACTTAAAAAAAAAGAAAAGTAATACTTATTTACAGATAAACCATCCTGCCAAATCTAACATGCCTATTTCAACTTTGACACCATAGATTACATAAGAATTAGAAAAAATTAGCAACAAACTTACTAATTTACTAAATTAAAATATATTTAAATACTTATAATAAATAACATTCAGTTTTCTTTAATTAATAAGTTTTCAAAATTTAATAAAAAATTCAATATAGGAGTATGACAATCTAGTGAAATGATCAGAAGTCAACTCTTTAAGTAATAGTTTGGATGTTTAAATTCTATTGATACCAAAAAATTTAGATAATCATCTATATAATAATTGTATTATAGTAATTATTACTAAAGATTAGATTAGAATACTTTAATAGTAATCACATTAGTATGACTGGCAAGTCATAGGGTATTTACTTAACTTGTTATATAGAGGAATACAAACTGATGAATTAGGCAGTGCAAACACTAAATAAGTTTTTGTAGTTGTGTAAATCTATTAAAATTAAATAACAAGAAATTCATTTGAGAAGATCTGAATAGAAAAACAAACAGATCTTTGACAGCTTTAAACTAAGAAAATGAATACCAAAGTTATAGTACTGAACATAATAGTCAGACAAACAAAAACTTTTAGATTAGAAGTTTTGAAAATACCACTAACCAGGCCACTAGTATGAACTAAAGAAAATGAATATTAGGCTAATTTGATATGTTAATGAACTAATTATAATTCTATACAGACTATCTGGTTTAGAAGTTTGGTAAAAAGGTAGATGAAAAAACAGAAGTATACTAAAGTACTTGGGTTATGCTATAAAGTAGATGCTAGGGTTTGTATAAACTTTATGAAGAAATAATATAATTTTAATTGCAAGTATTGGTTCTATTATAATGATATCTAGATCAACTATAAAAATAGGTACAGAAGGTTCTAGGGATTTATCTTAAAAATAAATTAGTTCTAAGGTTGAAATAATAATTTGATATTTGGTTATTATCTAGTAAGTTAATACAGATTATAGGTTTAGAGAATTTAAAGTAAAATATTCAAGCAGAAGTGTTAGATAGACCAATTAGTGAAGAACCTTTAAGCAGATTTCTTAAATAAGTAATATAGAAAAGTTATATGTATAGCCAATTGTACTCTTTTTTGTAGTGATTCATAGAATAATATTATCAAAAAAGTTATTAATAAAACTCAAAAGATCAAAAAGATTACTTTAAAAAAAAAAAAACTTAATATTATAATATTATAATTTAATATCTATTATTGATAAACTATAAACTATTTGTTTGTCTTATTAAATTAAAAGAATTTTATAATTTATTATATAATATAATATATTCTACTTTTTTTTTTATTTTCACTAAAGTTGTTAATTATTGGTAACTAATGCTTTTATTGTGATTTAATTATAATTATATAAGTTGTATAAGATAAATATATAACTAGTTACATATATAACTTATAGCTATTTATTTAAGTAGTTTGTCTACAGATTCTAAACTAGCTATTATATCAGTAATTTGTTAGAAGATTACTTAATTAAATACTTTAATTTCTATATTATACCTAACAGATAACTATACAAATTCTCATATACCTAAATGTCATATAACCTAATCTTGAAATTATTATCTATATATTTGTTAATTTGTTATACATTTCAGAGTATATCACCTAAATGTAAGATTCCAGAAGGTTTCTGTTAACTAACTATTCATTTTTAGTCTTTGTTAACAAGGTTTGTCCTTGTAGAGTTTATCTAGACCCTAGTAATTACTTTATAACATATTAGTACTTATAGTATATCTTTATTTTTATTATAAGACTTTTAATCCAGATAGACTGAAAGAATTATAATCTGTCTCTAGTATATCAGTATTACAACATTTGATATTCTTTTTTTTAGTTTAAAACTTTCAGCAATCTGATTAGTAATACCTTTATCTAAGATTATTGTCTACTCAAATTTTTTATATTGGTATATGTTTTCTATATTTAGTCTTTATAGTAGTATTATCAAAAATTTGTATTACCTCTTTACTCAGTTCTTTTCAAATAGGTTTGGTTTCCCAATACTATAGATTTACATGACCATAAGAACTTATCTTGAGTTTGCATTTCTTTGTGTAACTAATTACACAGATGTCTATAACCTACCAATCATGTTGAAATAATAATAGTTATAGGTATTTTATTTCAACAAATTGTTAAAATAGTGTTACTGTAATATTATCTACATATTTTATAAGCAATTATTCCAATTATTGTTATTGATAAGTTTTAAACTTACGATCTACTACTTGAACAATTGACAACTTATTCACTTCACTGAGTCATCACATTTCTTATATATTGCATTCTTATTTTATTATATGAAGATCATCAATTTCATATAACAAAAAAATTTTATCAAAACAAAAAACAAATTTTTATTAATACTAAGATTAGTATTAAGATTTAAGATAAGGCAAAAGCATAAGATATATAAAAATTTTGTAAAAAAAATTTTTTATTAGTATTTCAAAAATGATATACAATATATTACACATGCAATAAATTATAAAACCCAAATTAAAATTCTAATTATTATTCTTTTTTTTACTTATTTATATCAAAATAAAATCACCAATTTACAATAATATAGTTAATTGAGCTAATTGCATCGACACAAAATATTCATATTCATTACGACCTTCAGATTAAATTAAACCACTTAAAAATTGTTCTGTTCAGCTATTTGCTCAATACTGCACAATTATATTGTATTTTGTCTCTCATTCGCTTGTAATTAAGATGGAAAAACAAACGGGTTTATTCCTTTTGCTGTCGAGCATTCTACGCAAATTTATAGAATCGAATACGATCCCCCTTTTTTTTTTATACTTTTAATTCCAAAAAGACTGTCGTCACGACAGGCCGTAATTTGTCTATGATACACTATGCTGAATTTTGGTTGATTAAATCAATAATAAAGTTTCACATGACTGTCGTCCCGACAGGTCATCTATTCACAATCTTTAAATAAATGAAAAATACCTTCCAATGGTTACGTGTAGGGTGGGAGGGATCGACAAAACCAGACTAAAGTCGGGATCGCAAAAGAAATAGAGTTATCTCTAACTCTATTCATTACAATACTTAAATACTCAAATTCATTAGACTCAAATACGTCAATATTACTGAACTGATTTACTAATCGCAATTATTACCTCATAATCCCAAAGTCTATTTTATTACTAATACTAACAATATATTAACACGTCATTCCGAAATTACACATGTGACTGTAATAGGGCATGTCACATGCCTTGATACGAGCTGATTCGAGACAAAAGCTGCCTCGATACTATCGTATCGAGCAGCTTTATTAGTTTTATATTTCGTCTTTGTATTAAACCGAATTTATACTTAAACTACTTTTATTCAGAATTAATTTTATTATTAATTAAATTTAGTTTACATATTTGCAGAAATTCAATTCCTGGTTTTGCGTGATGATGTCGCGCAGCTATCTAGTTATCTATATTAAAAATTTAGGAAACAGTGGCATATAACATCTAAGCCTGGTTTAATTACTACGTGTTATGTGTCATAAGTGGTGTGGATGCACATGGTTGTACAACTATAAATTTAAAAGATTATACGAAATTAGAATCGACTCACTGTACATCATATATATAATCCACCTTGCAGAAGTTCAGTTTTTTAAATAATACATAGATGAATTGATGATCACTGACTAACGATCGAACCAGCCACGGATTGAGGTTTGCAGGTCAGTTTCAGTCTTATCTAGATCCGAACCGGTGAACCGGTCCATGAGAAAAAGTGTTAGATATCTAATGTTCTCATTCTCAAAAATATTAAAATATTTTTGAGACACGATATTTAAAAATTAAGTCCTCATCACCCTGAAGTTCAAGTGTAAGGTTTGCAGTATTGACAATGTTACATACAAGCGAATGGAAAGATATAATTATAGTGACAGTATAGTAAATACAAGCATTAGTGTAATAGTAAGTTTAATGAAAGGTTCAAGACAAGTAAAAAGAAGAATACGTACCTATGACTATAAACCCAACCCATCCAAATCTAAACACCTCTATTCGACTTAGCACATTCGTAGGTTACTTGGCATCCCAAATTTTGGAGCGACTGACTCGCCGATTAGCGGTAACAATATGAATCAGGTTAGTCGAACATATTCACTTATGAAAATGGGAAAGGATGACTATAAGCCTTTAATTACCAAAAATTAGTGCAGATGGACTATGTTGAACTAGATCAAAGGACGAAAAAACGCCTGTAGATCTCCTTCAAAAAAATTAATCAAACAATTTCCCACCTAACATAACTTACTCCTAACCCTAAGGATTTATTACACCTGATCTTTCGATCTAACTGGATAAAAATCACAGGTTTGGAGTAGTGATGGGAAAAATGCGCATTTTATAATAACATGCGCATGAATGCGCATTAATGCGCACGAAATGTTTCATGCGCATGATATCGCATGATAAAAAAAAGGCAAAAAAAAAGAAAAAACGATCGAGAGGAGAGAAATCTTGATGGGATAAAATGCGCATGAAACCCATCTCTAGTTTGGAGCTGACATATTTGATGAAAATGAAGTCAAAAAGAAGCATCGATAAATTGTTGAAATGGCAAATGTTGCGAAACGTATGACCTTAAATGCAATTATCGGAATGGAACTAGTCTTAAAAAGAATGACCAGAACGGTATTCGAAAGTATTGAAGGTGAAAATCTGGATGAGAAGAATTACTTTCCAATTTGAATAAATTATCGGAAATTGAACCAAATCATGCAAAAGCACTTGAATGGTGCTTGAAGTTTGCTGAAGGCAGCATCATTATTGAAAAGGATGGACGCAAGTAGTAAAATGAATAATCATAATGGATATGCTCAGCACCAAGGAGTATAAAGGAAGGGTTACCAAAAATAAATGTGAAATCTTCGAATGGTATATAAAATTGACTGAAATCGGTGATACTGATGAAATGAATAATGCTGTTAAAAGAAGAAAACATAAGATATGTGTTTATTACCATGAGTTTACCAAAAATGGATTCAAAGTATTAGAGTGAACCTGAATTCGGTTAAAGACAATGGTTTAAATAAATCGGATAATCTTGAATTGTGTCTGAAACATGACAATAAAACCAAAATGAAATTGGATGAATATGATCAACAGAGATAAAGCGCACAGTGTAGAAGGACTTGAAATAACCTGCGAGTTATGTATAAAGAGAGTTAATGAATTCTGAAGGATATTCAAGTGAAATAAAAGCGAAAATACAAAGGGAAGGAAATAAACACCTGAACGATGCGTAAGGGCCTGCTGAAATTGATGTAAACCAATGGAAATACAGGAAATCCTCCAAAAGTAATGTGGTAAAAATTGAGAATCAAAATCTTTCATGGAAAGTTGAAATTAAACCTTGGAATAAAAAAAGGAACTGAGACAGAAAACTAAGTGCATGATTAAGGGTAAAATGTAAAAAATCCAACACTTATCTTTATTGTGGGATGGTTCCCGAATATATGATCCTGGTGGAAGAATTTTCTTAATTGGCTTACTTTATCATATCGGCTTTAATTTTTAGCATTAGTAAATGAAAAAAAAGCTTAGTGAAGTTCTGTATTGTAACCAAAAGATGGCGGCCCGATCGATGATCGACTCCAGAAAATCGACAATCGCAAGACCAACACATATAACTAAATAAAGCATGAATCGAATGCACGGCAATGAAGTAATAGAAATTTATGGGAAAAATCTAGTGAACAGAAAAAAATCCGTTAGTAAAAATACTTGGTGTGTAAATGTATAAAAGAGACAAGTAATTTTATTTTCTACTTTGGTAGTGCCTAGAAACATAATATAAAAATGATAATAAATAAAATTGTAAATGTTAAAAAAAAAATTACTCGCCAAAGCATAAACGCCTCAAATAGAGAATACGGTCTCTATTTTACCTCTATCAACGTAAAATGGGTTCAACTCATTATAGTATTGGTTTCAAAGCTTTAATTAACCTTAAATATAGAGAATTGCTATTTCCACCCCCCATTTTTGCTAATGTCACCCCTCAAAATACATAAAAGTACTCCGGAAGAGATATTACTATTAAGTAAACCTCCTTTTTGGTATTAATTAAACTTGTTCATTAGGTCTTTTCGGTTCTAATGGTGGTAAAATCACTAAGTTTGGACCGATGGTTCTTGCAATATTTATATCTAAAATTTATAATCTTTAATCTACTTTTAAAAAAGCACTACCGGTCTGATTTTAATAATTTTACCACCATTAGAACCGGAAAGGTCTAATGAACAAATTTAATTAATACTAAAAAAAGGTTTACTTAATAATAATATCTCTTCCGGAGCACTTTTATGTATTTTGGGGGTGGCATTAGCAAAAATGGGGGGTGAAAATAGCAACACTCTAAATATATATTCTCTAAATTAATAAAACTAAATAGTAAAATTCATGAACTTGAAACGATTATTTGAATACTCAGATTAGTATGATCTAAAACAAGTAAATAAAGTGCATATATTCATGAGCTTGAATTATTTTTTTAAAATTTAGATTAATAAATTATCTTTATACACACCTAATTCAATGCAAATAAAGTAAATATTCATGAACTGAGATACTCATTTAGATTAATAAATCCTTAAAGTAATGCAATTAAAGTAATACTAATAAAACAATGTGAATAAAGTAATAGACAAATGCTTTATGAATCCCAATTCCTATAATATATGTAACAATTCTGCATGATGTGTTTTATTAGAATTCCTCATATCTGCGACTTTTTGAAAATGAATGAATACCTAAATTAGACATTAGATGTTCCAATGGCGTCACCAATCTATGCTGATTTTTAATAATAAAAAACTTTTATGTGCTATAATTCCATTAAATAAAATAATTTCTTACCCGGATTATTTATGTTCCATCAGCATTACCAACTTTTGTTGATTTTTGAAAATAATTAATTCATTTTGTTAATTGTTTTCAACTCAATTTATTCGTCATAATAATATCCAGAATTAAATGTCTAACTAATTTTCGATGATAAAATCCACCACAAAGGTTCCAGGGCGATGAAAAGTCCACTAGAAAGGATTCAAAATCGACAATTCCAAGAACCAAAAGATACGTGATAACAAAATTCACCCGAAAAAGAACTTATTCATCAAAAACGACTACTCTAGCAACGAAGATGACCTTAATGGAATTTTGATCTCGGTATTTTAAGTTTAAGTAGTAGGCCAAAATTGTAACGCATCTAATTCAACTATTCAAAAAAAAAAAAAAATTAGTCATTATTACAAATATAAGTATATACAAAGTAAATTGCCAATAGTAACAAAAGGGGTTAAAGGAACAGTGCGTAAAAGATTTATTAAAGATGACTAAATTTCACAAGACCACTTAACAGAATAAGGAAATACTCATTCTTATTCGAAGTTGAGTATAACCTTAAAAACGGAAGCGATGAACCAGAAACATTTGTTTCGGCATCCGCATACACTTCCG